TTAAACGAAATTATGTGAATACATCTCATATTACTGAGTTACTGGTAGTCTCGAAACAATACTTAATGCTAAAAATAGATAATTAAAATTGCCTATTGTGTACATGTAAAGGATCCTCATTAAGATCACGAGGATGGATGTATAAAATAGTGACTAGGATTGAAGTCAGCCATCTTTTCTCTTGGTTTAGTACATTTTACCTCTGTTTCGTAAAGTATGCATTCTCACTCTGATGATGTCTGTCAAGGCACTACAGACGAAAGTGTAGAACAGATTTTTAGGTTTCAGGTGACACCATTTCACCACTCCCTTTGAACCAAATTTTCTTTCAAAATGGAAAGTCACGTCAGAATAGTCTACTTTTATCGAAAACAAGTAACGTCATCAATTGCAAAGGCAAACATATGCTTGTCTAATCGTCAATCCGAATATAAAACTTGAGTTTTAAGAGGCTTGACTCGCCTTAAATGCCACCTCTGTCCTGTGAAATACTGACAACAGTGGCTATGGAGTCGAATGGTAATGTATCCGGGTTCGAGTCCCGTTGAGGATTTAAAGTCAAAACTACAGTCCAGTTCATCTAACCTGCATGATTTGGCTTTTTGGATAGCAAGTCTAAGTGAATTTCAATGGAATCACGTGAAAAAATCAATTATTAGTCCTTGAATACCATTTAATGACCAAGGCTGACTAAGTTTTTATGTAATAATTACTGGTACTATCGAAAGCTACTTACGCTAAAAGTTTAATTCGTTTTTACCGGGACTAGAATAAGAAATTATACAATTTTATTCTGCTGTCGTCTGCTTCTGCGATCGGTTTCCTCCTCTCTTCATCACTCCATCAGCCACTTATTCCGGATACGGATGAGGTACAACGGCGGTTGACAACAGCATACTCCACCTAAACTTCCTCCTGTTGCAGATTGCCCCCTTCCTGCCTGCTCTTGCTCGGTCTCCGCCGTATCGAAGAGTCCCAATGATGTCTCGGCTGAGAAGAGGGAATGATCTTCGAGTTGGTCCGCGTTCCAGCTGAGCCCGTGGAATGGTTCTCTTGCACAACTGACTGCGGGTTCAAGCGGTCTGAAAGGTGTTGCGTTGTACTCTGCGTTGGGGGAAGGTCAGTTCTGAACTGATACTTCTTGGAATGCGGCAGAGTTCGCGTCAATTTGCAGGCATGGGTGGGTATAATTTTGCTAAATATTTTCACAAAAAGATGTAGTACGCTTAGACATGGAGACATGTGATTGTATTAACTTCTTTCCCTCGAGTTGCGAGATGTGCTGACCATCTCCAGGTTCCCAGTAGAAATTACATCACATTGTGCTCGCTTTACTTAAGTTTAGATGAACTTTAATCAATTTATT